TAAACAGCTAATACCCGCCCACATATAATTGTCTTGTAATTCAGCTGTGGTCGCTATTTGGAAAACAAGAATGAAATAAATTTCGATTCCCCGTCGATTTGACGTTGAGTTGAAACCTTTTTCATTTTCGGCTTGCCGAGTCTGATAATGATTACATCGTCAACTTCTTACAAATATGGCACTTGATAAGCTCCCTAGCAACTCCCTAAAAACTTGATCTTGGTAAATCGGGGGGGTTCGTTTGTCGCACTGTGAGAAAATGAATACTGAAGATTTCTCTACGTTTGCCTCTTAGTGTTATTTCATACCTGATGTAATTGACAAGTTTGTTTATAATTGAAAAAAGGAGGACTTCAGTGATCGTTCCTATTTGACAAAACATCACTCATGAAACTCTCAAATTATTCCTCGAACGGAAGGGGTTTTACGGTTCGCTTTGAGTGCAGTTAGCATTTGGCAGTTTGTTGTGTCCCATAATTTATAGTGTCAATTATAATCGCTTACAGTAAAAATTTATTCATCACAATTAGTAGTCATAAGGGAAGTAGCGTTTGTCTTAGTTTAATTGAAAGCGGCTTTAAAGCCGTTTTTTACTGCCGGAGGATTAGTGAGGTAAGACAAGCGGTGAAGTAGACAATCAGAAAAGCACTTTTCTGTCCATGGAGTTTGACCTCCCTCTATTTGTGCCCGATCATATTATTACTTTCAGTTCAAAACTGACCGATAGGGAACCCTTGTCCAATTGAGTTAGATTTTTGCTCCATATCTATCGATGATATTCTTCTTATTCACGTAAAACAGCTAAAGGAAGGCAATGGAAACACTTACCATGACTTTTAAAATATTATTTTTCCAGCTACCAAACTTTATCACGAATACATCAATTCATAATCGAAGAAAAGATATGCGTGCATTATACTGTCATGTTTGTTATTGTAAGAAAGCGTGCGAAAGAAAATTGACCTTCAGCGGTTGTTACAGAATTCTCTCAGATCAATCGTTTTGCTGACACTAAATGTTATGAGGGAAAAAGGATTACTGAATGAAACAAAATGATCCACTTTCTGTTAACTAAAAAAATCGCTTTTCATCTAGTCTATCTAGTCTAATCTGGTGTAGCAGCTGTCTCCAAGTATTATTCATTCAATATGAACCATTTCCCAGCAATAAGCTGTTGCTTCTTTTTCTTTAAAGTCCTTTTACAAAGTTTTACTGAAATAAGCAATTAAAAATAAAAAATACAGGGAGAACAGTTCTAGTTAATAATCGGCCATAGAAATCAGCAGCATATCTAATTACTGCATATTTTACTAATCAAAAAAGTTGCAAAAGAGAGTACCCTAGATATGTAAGGACTCGTTGCCTGTGTATGTTGACAAAATTTTAGAATGCCTATGTAATTAAATTGATTATAACTGGTTTTTCAGAGTTTTCTTCAGTTTCAGATCGATCGATTTCCTGAAATTACTGGTTAACGGTAAAAGAGGAATTCGAATGAGGAACATATTCAACTTAAAAAGTTATATTTAATTTTTTTCCTAACTTAAAGAAAGTGCTTGGTATTGACGCCATATTGCCAAACGAGTTGCAGTGGTCGACGTTTAGTCTCAATTTATTTTGTTATCAGAGAAATGTCCGTAATGCTTATGAATATGCAAATATGGTGTCGTTGCTTGTGTATGTTAACAAACCATTAGAATGCGTATGGAATACAATTGACTATAACTGGTTGTTTTCGAGTTTTCTTCAGTTCCAGATCGATCGATTTTCTGAAATCACAGGTTAAACGGCAAAAAAGGAATTTGAATGAGGAACATAGTCAACTTAAAAAGTTATACTTAATTAAGGAGTTGGTAGGTATCCAGCTTGTCACTAATTCAGTTTCTAAATATTCTTTAGTTACATTTGATTCCATTTCTACAACTTTCGAGAGGTTTTCTTCAACTTCAATTCCTTTTTATCTAACGTCATTTTATGAAGGTTTTTTTTGTAGTTGAGAATTGACAACATATTTCAACTTAATTACTGTCCCAGAAAATGACAGCATATCTCAATACATTGCCTATTCCATCATTAAAAAAGTGACAAAAAGAAAGTTCCCTTATTAAATATTGTAATTTCAAACGGTAATATAACTGATGTGTTTGTGCTAATTTGTATTTAAATTCAACTTTACTAATTGATATAAACAGTTGATAGCCGCCTGCATATAACTGTTGAGTAGTTTAGCTGTGGTCGCTGTATGGAATACAAGAATAAAATAAATTTCGATTCCACGTTGATGAATGAAAGAATGGATTCAACTTTGAGTTGGGAGATTTTTTTTCATTTTCAGCTTATCGAGGCTGATAATGATGACAATGTCAACTTCTCAAAAACAGTATGACACCTTCTAAGCTCCCTTGCATCCAAAGTTGATTCAGGTAAAGAGAGTTTGTTTTGTTGCTCTATGAGAAAAGTAATATCAAAGATGTCTATTCACTTGTCTCTTATTGTAATTTCATACCGGATGTAATGACAAGTTCAAAGGATAAAATTACTTTTTTGACACAACAGACACTTTGACGCCTTTTGAATAAAGAAGTCTTTCTGTGATTATGGTTGAAAAAAGAAAGACTTCGGTGATCGGTTCTAATTGACAAAACATTACTGACGAAACTTGCACATAATTGATCCTCAAACTTGCGGGAAAGGAAACAAAGCCAGAATAATGGCGACAACAATTTACGTAGGAGGTGTAACACAAACGAAAACATATTTAGAACTGCTAGGCATCCCAATTTTGATGGATGGACGACAAAGACAATTGATTTCTTTCTCTGCAGTCCAAATTTTCCTTTCCATCACAGCATTTATTGGTAATTTTCTTATCATTGTTGCCCTTCATGAGGAGTCTTCCCTTCGTCCGCCATCCAAACTTTTGTATCGCTTTCTGGCAAGAACTGATCTGTTAGTTGGTTGGTTGGAAGATTAGGATTTTTTGGTGAAAGGAGGAGAAAAAATAGAGAATGCAAAAGAAACGACAGAAAAATGGTTTGTTCACGTAGTTTGTTCTTTTTTTTGTTTTGTTCTAGTTTTGTCGGAGATGAAACGGAGGTAAAAGAGTCACAAAATGTTACTAAATGAACAGTTGAATTTAAATATTTTGAAAAAATAAGGTTTGCATCTGTGGCCATACATTAATTATAATTCATTAAATGCATTCGAATTCCTGGAGTGATTGACATGGGTTTGACATCCTTAGCTTAAACCTTCTTTCCCTTAGCTTGCTGAGGCTGATAATGATTCAAGCCTTAACGTTACACAAATGATATGGACAGTTGATTGACACCCTGTCAAAGAAACTAGCTCAGCTTGCGAGCAGGTCCTCGTTATTAGTATTGCGGCACGTCACTCCTTCGCTCACTAGTCGTGTTGCTTAAGGCCACAAACTTATTCATGGACAAACTCGTACTGTAGTGTTAATAATGAGTGCCTGTCCGTTGGCTAAGTAAAGAGAGATTGTAGTCGCAACGTGAAAAAGAGAAATGTTACAAGTGTTATTATATATTTGCCTATTATTACTATTTCACTTGGAGAGTACCCTAACGAGTTTGAGCGACAAAAATTGGCTTTTTCACACAAAAGAAAATTTTCTCTGTGACGTTTTTCAAACGAGCAAACGATGATGAGGAATTCTTTATCTGATCATTATGTAGGAACTGAGCAAGGTTTCAGTGATCGTCGTTGTGTTGCTGTTAAGACGAAATATTTCTCGTTGCAATCACAGATAACCTCAGTCCAAGAAAAAGGAAACAAAAACAGAATAATGTCGACAAAAAATTTCAGTAGAGGTGAAACACAGACGGAACTGCATTGCTCCCCATCTCTGGTTGGTGGGCTTCAGCAAGAATTTAAAATTTCTCTTTTAACCATCTACATTTTCCTCTCTATCATTTCTTGGGAATTTTGTTATCCTCGTTGCCCTTCACAAAGAATCTTCCCTGCATCCGCCGTCCAAACTCTTGTATCGTTGTCTAGCAACAACTGATCTGTTGGTTAGTCTCGTTTGCCAGCCTCTCTTCACTAGTTATCTGATGTCTGTGGTTCAGGAACACTGGAGTCTTTGTCGATACGCATTCGACGCAGCCACCATCACAGCCTATGCATTATGTATTTATGAATTCATAAATACGAAATAATTCGAAAGCTAGCAAAACCAAAGTATTGATACCTCCTCACTTGTTATTTGATTCAGATGAAGAATCTGCACAAAGCGATAGCAGCCGAGTGATTCACACTCAGACTCTGGCACCGAAAGTAATCACATTCTAGCGATAGAAGACGAGTTTCTTTTAGTGCTTATGAAACTTCGCTTGGGGCTTACGAATTTAGACTTAGCCACAAGATTTAGAGTTTCAGAAGCAACAGCTTCTAATATATTTATCACGTGGGTCGACTTTTTGTACATCAGCCTTGGTGCTCTCAAAGTGTGGCCCCACAGGAGGGTTATATTGGTTAACATACCCAAAAACAATTCAAAGAGGAACATCCCAATAACATCATAATCATAGACTGCACCAAGGTGAAAATTCAGTGCCCATCTTCACTTGTAGTGCAATCCCAAAGTTACTCAAATTATAAATCTACAAACACTTTGAAATCCCTTGTAGATATTGATCTAAAGGGAGGTTTTATGTTTGTGTCACAGTTATACACAGGATCAATATTGGATAGGTGAATTGTCACAAGAAGTGAATTTCTTGACTTACTGTCGAGCAAAAAAGAAGTGTCAGAAGTTGATGATGGTGATAGTATCATGGCAGACAAAGGCTTTGATATTGAAGAAGACTTAAAGAAAATAGGACTTCAATTGAATATTCCTCCCTTTTTAAAAGAAAAACCACAGTTTAATGAGAATGAGGTCATTAGAACACAATCTATTGCAAAACACAGGATTCAGGTAGAAAGAGCTATTGGAAAAGTCAGAAATTTTCTTATTTTTAACACAAGAATACCAATTAGTTCATTGGGTACCATAAATCAACTCTGGACAGTTTGTTGCTTGATTTCAAACTTCATGAATCCTGTTTTAACTGATGAAGAGGATGATTAACATCTGCTGCTGGAAGAAACTAAAACTGAACTTTCTCAAGAACTGCTAAAAGCTTTTACAGTAGGGATGCTGGATGCAGTGAATGTTTGCCCATATAAAATATATATAATGCGTTGCACCGTAAAAACTGAAATACTTAACTGAGCTAGATACAAATGTCATTAAGTATAAAACATTTCTTTAGAGTGAGGCATTTGAACACTTCAATATGAATTTGTATTAGTAAGCAAATATGAGTAAGCTAAGGGTCATTACTTTTGTGCACAGTGTACTTTGATAAGTTTCTCAGATTGTTAAATTTCTCGGATCAGTTAGGATCTTCAGTTAATAACTGCGTGAGGAGCTTCGCTTTTCCTTTGGTTCCGAACACAGAAGGCCTTTACGAAACACGATCGTCCTCTTTGACAAAAACATCATGTATGTAATTTTCTGTAAAGAATTTATAGCCTTTCTCGCCAACTTCATTTTTTCTACAGCCTGTCAAGTGTTTTGCAATTGTAATTGAATATACTTTAGGGACTTTTTCCAAGGACTTTAAGCAGTGAGACTCTAGCTCAACAAGAGAATCCGCCATCTTGAATGTTTTGTTTACCCATTTCGGACCACGTGATCAGGAAGCTAAAAAGGTCTATTGCAGAGTAAAGTCAACCTGTCCGATAGACGGAACTGCCTGGCGTGGAGTAGTGTACACCAAGCTACTTAAGCAGCAACAAGGGCAAAGAAACCTATATTGGAATAACAGTAGATCAGTTGAAAACAAGATACCGAAATCATATCGCTTCGCTTAAAGACAGGTAGAATCAAATGCTTTGTTCAGTTCTTTCGCAGTAATGCTTTGTTTCTGTGGCGGCATGAGGACACGAGTTCATTACGTTTATTGAGTGATGATAATTCAGGTCGGCAGATGATAAGTAGTTTTTTCTTTTAAGGCAGAGGTTGTATCGTTTACTTGCACTTTTGTAGGGTGATCTTGATGAAAGGTTGCGCCATGAAATAAAGTGGTCAACGTTATTTTAAGAGTCCAGATATGTTTGCCGAGTTCCGTAGAGCTTCTGCGTTTTATGCGTCGGAATAATGCAGTGTGGTTTCTGTATCTAGTTTCAAAGTCGTTTTCTGCAAGTCCGATGTATGTTGAAGTAGTGCTGTTGTCCTTACGTGTGACGGTGGCTTGGTAGATTACTGATGTTTGGAGGCAGTTTCCGCTAAGTGGGCAAGTGCTTTTTTCACGGCAGTTGCAAGTTTTGTTGTCTTTTGTGTGGATGCCATCTGCGGTGCCATCGATGTGTTTGGATGAATTTAAAATGCATTTGTTGTGATTGTCGATGATCTGTTTCATTTTGTTTATGCAGCTGTACCTAATCTTGATTGTATTTCGATTGAAAATTTTTCTGAGATTGTGGTCTTTAGGAAAGTGCTTGTCTACTAGGGTAAGGAATCTGTCTGATATTGGTGTTGACGTTTTTGCTGAATGGGGGGTTGTACCAGAGTGTATTGTTCCGTTGTCTGTTTTTTTAGTTGTTAGTCGTGGGTTGTTCGTGGTTCATAGTGTAGAGTGTAACGGTATCCGCATTCGTCAAGTGCTTTTTGGTATGGAGGGGCGGCTTGGTCGAAGGATGCTTCGTCTGATGAAAATGACAGTCGTTTGTTGATGCCTGTGAGTATGTTCTTTGTGGTAATTGGTGGGTGGTTGCTCTCGCGGTGGACGTATTGTAGCGGGGTTTTAGGCTTCGTGAATGGCTGGTGGGTGTTTTTGTTCAGGGTAGGAACGCTTTCACTGATATTTCATGAAACCGCAGTATACAATTATGATTTTCATATATTCAAAATTCATTGACTTCTATCACTTTGACGGGTTTAAGAGGAACCAACATAATGACCAGCTCCCAGTTGGCTTGTTAGCTCAGTTGATAGAGAGCGCTGCACCGGTATCGTAGAGGCCATGGGTTCAAATCCCGTACGGGCCTGAATTTTTTTCAGGCCTTATTTCCACCAACTAGATGAGTGGGGTTTAATACAGCGAGGAACGCTTTTATACAAACCATCAACACTATTTTGTTCTAAAAAAAAACATGTTTTTTGTCTTGTCATGGACGTGGCACGAAGATAAAACGTCGTTCACAAGATCGAACCTTAGACTTTCGGATTCCGCTGTACGATGCTGAAACTGAGCTAGAGAGATCGCACAACTTTCTTTATTTTATGTGCGACCTCAAATGTAACTATAATTCTCATTCTTTTTCTGTTCTCGAAATTGCTGATCCTAGTGTAGGTGAAGGAGCCAAGGTGCATGGTGCATAGATTCGCTCCGTCAGAGAGTATAGTGTGATGTGTATCGTCATCTTTAGGTACAAACATTTTGTTTTTACCCTCACCTGCGTTGAATCCATGGTATTGAGGTGCTATGTTAGATAAAAGATATGTATCCATCCATGCCTCATCGTTTTCATTAGAAGAGTCAAAGTCACCATTCGGCGCCATGTGTCCGCGGTCAAAAGACGAATGCTTGTAGTGCTTGCAGAGCGAGGCCTGGGAATCGGTAAGGCGAGTATCTTTTCGGAAACAATTTCTTCGGGTTCCTGACTGTGACGCTTTCTGGGTAAAAGAGAACACACATTAATCTGTGAGACACATACAAGTCTCAGAGGGTTTCTTTTCCTTTGACAAGCTATGAGACTGGTTCGATAAAATTGCGAGTTGGTTGTTTAATTTCCCAATCAACAGACACAAATAATTCGTCACCTGTGATTTCTCCGCTTGGTGCAAAATATAATGTATTCTATATTATACTTTTATTTTCGTCCCGCCACTTCTTTCTTCAACCAGGGCAAACTGAGCTCGATAATTCAAGTTTGACGTTTGAATAAACCGTCGCTGGTTAACAAGTTCTGTACAGGAGGATTCGACAGTCAAACTGGTCCTAAGCCTCTTTATAGGAGTGCAATAACAGTAAGATATCAGAGACCACATGAGATAATCATATAGCCTCGGAACAAAATTAACACGATAAAGTCCAAAATGAAAAGCAAAATGTCACCATAAACTGCTGTTTCTTTTCCCCCTGGTTAAGTCTTGTCAACATGACGTAGCAAGAAAAAATGCGCAACCAGCTAGAAAACCAATGTTTCACAAGCTGCACATGGCGGATGATCACTTAACAAACTTGGATTCAAACGTTCGTGGATTAGTCAGCAAGGTGTACCCAGCCCGTAACAATGAACAATCGCCAAGAACTCGGAATAACAGTGACTTGGCATCAATCCATTGCTGATGTCGCAATTACATTGTCAGTGATGCAGACACATAAAAATTCTGTCACAGATCCTCCTTTCGCGCTAAACGTTTTCGTCGTGCTCCTAAATGTTTGCTGGTTACTTTCTCATTAAAATAAATGATCCTGGTTTACGTACCTCTCCATCAAGTCTATAAGCCACCCATAAGGGCAAACGTAGAGAAGTACTATAGCCTGTCACAAAACCCTTCTGTGCTAGAATACAGCCTTCTTGACCTGCTCCACCCTCAGGTACTCCCCACGGAAGGTGCGTCGCCTGAAATTCAGATACTAGGATAAAAAAGAAAACAAACACAATTATATGAAACAAAACGACACCCACGTTCCAAAATAATACAAAAATCAATACATCAAAAAATCAATACATGACAGAAATAATAATAACAATTCGTTAAGAGAAAAAAAAATTGACTGTGGACTTATACTTGTGGATGAAATGTTAGGTTACAGTACCCCTCGGTAAAATCTCTCATTGACAAAAACATGGAGAGAAGGGGGCAGCGCGTCAGTCAAAATGTTATTCGCAAAGTCTCTAAGAGACGGAAACATTTATGTATAACCAAAAAGATGCCCTTACTCTGTTGGTCTGACAGGTCTAACTTCTTGTCATTTAGAATAACCTCTGATGTATTCTCCTATAAAAACAACAAAGAGAACAAAGAACATTAAGAAAAGAACTTTAACTGCTTCTCCTCAAAGTTGTATACAGTTTACCAATGTGTAGTGTGTTCTTCGCAATTACTACCAAAGTTTCATATTGCCATTCTTTCAGTTTCACTTTCGACTAGATTGAAGTAGCAGGTCAGCTTTCACTTCAAATTTCATTTCAAAGCTATTGCATACATGTAGTAACAGATAAATTGAAAAAATTCAGATTAACTAAAAACCCGTAGGAACCCTTGGAATGTTTTAACCATACATTTCCTATTCTACCCTCAGTTTTTGGAACTTGAATTCTGAATTCATTTGAGTAAAAAGTTCTTCAGAGCAAATGAGTTTAAGACCTTGAGTCAAATAAGAAATGATTATTGAGCTGTGCTGCACGTCGAGGGGTCTGGGTTCCAGTGTTGTGTTCTTGGGCAAAACACTTTACTCTCACCTCCCCACCAAGGAGTATAGATGGGTACCGGTGAACTGTCAGGGAAGCTTGAGGAAATGCAGCAGGCAGGGAGGTAGCCTCACGATGAACTGGCATCCTATCCCGGGGATTTATAATATCATGTGATACCCCTTGTCGCCTCTCATGTTCTAGAAACTGGCATAAGGTTCAAGCTGGTTCGGCCACTTGGCTCGAGAGAAGGGTTTACCTTTTTCTACCTTCTTTTCTACTGATCATATTGCTCATTTAAGTGCAGTTAAATTTTTTTAGCAGCATCCTACCACATACACAATTTTGACAAATGCACCGACTGCAGTTGTCAAAGCCCTCAGGTTTTCGGCAGATGTCAGTTCTCATTAACTGTCCCTCATTCTTAGTCTCAGGAATATCAATGTCGACACTTGGATCCAATAGATGTCGCAAACTACCAGGCGTTCCATCGTTCGGGGCTGGCTTAAGCCCGAGTATACCTGGAAACGAATAGAAATTGATCATGAAACTGACTATTTGAAACAGAATACAGCTAAGTTGTTCCAAGGTCTAAAAATAAGTGTATACGAAATCATCAAATGATTTTACGTAATGTTATATCATTTCATCTCATTTCAATCTATTTAATTATGTTCTTTTTAAAAAGGATTTAAGGAATTTTTTTTTTCAAAACTTGAATGTTAATACTACCTCTTCCAAACCGAGTTCGAGGTCCGTACTGTAAGTTACGGACCGAGTAGTTTTTCACTCGGATTTATGGCCATAAAAAACTTGTACCCATAACTTGTGAAAAACGAAGTAATAAGATAATTATTATATCATATCTCTGAATTCATATAAAGGAGGGACCATGTCAGTTCGCACAAACTTTTGAATTTAGCGGGCTGTACAGTGAAAACGTCTCGCTAAGTTGACAGGTCATAGCGAACGTACTGGGAGATAAAATAAAAAGTAATATGCCTATTTGTAACACGACTCGGGCAGTCAGAGGGCCAATAACTAAAATCAACCAATCAAAATGCTCTATTGCCGGTCAATATTCTCTCAGTATTGGACCGGGCACGGTCCCGAATGGTCCCGAATGATACTGCACTTGTGTCCCTTTGAACTTCAGTCGTATAATAAATCTCTTATTAACCAAGCTTGCTCGGGACCGTACTGGAAGAATATCGGCCNGGCTAGCCCCATATTTTATTCCTGCACTTTTAAAGATTCGCGTTAAGACCAGTTTCAATGGCATCTGTTGAAATGTGTGGGAAAAATTACAATTGAAAGTCGAGCTGCGATGACTTATTCAGATTGGGACTGTTGAAGACACACATGCTATCACTAACACGCAAATTCGAGGTCTGTGCGATTTTGTCTTGGAAAAAAGAAAGACATTGTGGTGAACATCGATATATGTGCTTCACAATTATCAAAACAGAAGTCGAGTGCACGTTGGTTAGGTCCAAGTGCACGGTCACTGTTGTTGTAACTTGTTGTTGGCAGTCAAGGCGTCATGGCTTCCGCCAGCTATCGATTTTCTCAGTATTCTTGAAAATCCTTATGTTTTTCGTTTCAGCTCATGGTGATCGTATCTCCTTCTTAAGAACAGTCTTTCGACTTTATGATAAGGGACTGTCAAGTAAGACGGTCTGACAAAAGCTATTAAGAAATGAGCTTTCGGTGCAATTCTAAATAATATCGATTAGGACTCTGAGAAAACTCAAATGGGTTTGCTCGGCATGCAAACCCATGAATACTTGATCGAGTCCGGGAAAACTCAGATCAGCAAGAACTTATCTCGAATTAAAACGATCTTTCTCTGTGGACATCTCATCGTCAACAAGACTGCCCTTGTCACGGTGCAAAGAGCTACGTACATACATACATACATACATACATACATAAGTCTTTATTTAACGGGGGTAACATATTAACTTACATAAGTTTTCTAAAGTATGGCCCTCGCATATCTACACAGTACATTTTACAATTACAATTAATTTTACATTACAGATTTTAATATGATTCATATACATACAAAAAATATAATATGACATTCATAAAAAACACGAATCAGTTTGAATAGCAATTACAATCTAATAAAAAACGGCAATCATGACAAAAAAGTTCCTCTAAATGCAATATGCGTGCAAGCTTGTTCGTGAAAAATAGGCGGAGTTTGCGCTTGATAGTAGTGAGGACGGTGTTGAGCGAGATAGGTAGTATAGAGGAGGAAGCAAGTTGCTTGAGATGTGTCTCAAGACCATTGAAGAGTAGCGACTGAGGAAGCAAAGGTGCGTTTACCAGAGTTGGTGCGAGGTTTAGGGAGAGATAGATTGCAAGATGCTGCGCCTCTTGTTGAGTACCGGGTTTGCACAGAAGATAAAAAGCTAAAGCTGCGCCGTAAACAAGATGGAGAGTCAGGATTCAGAAGAATGGAGAAAAGAAGTTGTAGGTTTCTGCATTTGATGACATCGATGATCGGAATCCAGTTAAGTCTAGAAAAAAGCGAGAAGGCGTCCTTCAAATCAAGCAAACCGGCGGCTAAAGCTGGTCGAAGAGTGTTCCCTGAAATTCTCGCAGAACATTTCCTTACATAGTCATTTGAAAATTGCAAGTGAGTTTGGAAATTAAATGTAAGCTGAAAACTTATTTATTTCGTGCAGCTTACTCAAAGTACCCTGTCTGACAATTACTTTTATCAGTATTACTAATTAAGTTCCTTATTAAGATCCTTATTCCTAATTAAGATCCTTAAATACTTATAATCATGGTGATCGTATCTCCTTCTTAAGAACAGTCTTTCGACTTTATGATAAAGGACTGTCAAGTAAGACAGTCTGACAAAAGCTATTAAAAAATGAGCTTTCGGTGCAATTCTAAATAATATCGATTAAGACTCTGAGAAAACTCAAATGGGTTTGCTCGGCATGCAAACCCATGAATACTTGATCGAGTCCGGGAAAACTCAGATCAGCAAAAACTTATCTCGAATTAAAATGATCTTTCTCTGTGGACATCTCATCGTGAACAAGACTGCCCTTGTCACGGTGCAAAGAGCTACGTACATACATAAATACATACATACATAAGTCTTTATTTAACGAGGGTAACATATTAACTTACATAAGTTTTCTAACGTATGGCCCTCACATACCTACACAGTACATTTTACAATTACAATTAATTTTTCATTACAGATTTTAATATAATTCATATACACACAAAAAATATAATATGACATTCATAAAAACCACGAATCAGTTTGAATAGCAATTACAATCTTAGTAAAAAACGGCAATCATGACAAAAAAGTTCATCTAAATGCAATATGCGTGCAAGCTTGTTCGTGAAAAATAGGCGAAGTTTGCGCTTGATGGTAGTGAAGACGGTGCTGAGCGAGATAGGTAGCATAGAGGAGGAAGCAAGTTGCTTGAGATGTGTCTCAAGACCACTGAAAAGAGTAGCGACTGAGGAGGCAAACGTGCGTTTACCAGAGTTGGTGCGAGGTTTAGGGAGAGATAGATTGCAAGATGCTGTGCCTCTTGTTGAGTACCAGGTTTGCACAGAAGATAGCAAGCTAAAGCTGCGCCGTAAACAAGATGGAGGGTCAGGATTCAGAAGAATGGAAAAAAGAAGTTGTAGGTTTCTGCATTTGATGACATCGATGATCGGAATCCAGTTAAGTCTAAAAAAAGCTTGAAGGCGTCCTTCAAATCAAGCAAACAAACAAACCGGCGGCTAAAGCTGGTCGAGGAGTGTCCTCTGAAATTCTCGCAGAACATTTTCTTACATAGTCATTTGGAAATTGCAAGTGAGTTTGGAAATTAAATGTAAGCTGAAAACTTATTTATTTCGTGCAGCTTTCTCAAAGTATCCTGTCTGACAATTATTTTTATTAGTATTACTAATTCAGTTTCTTATTAAGATCCTTATCCCTAATTAAGATCCTTATGGATATTCCATAGTATTCTTATTTTTAACATACACTGTTAATATTAATGTACATGTAATTAGTTTTATAAATTTGAATTTACTGTAGTATTCTAAGTTGTTAAGCGCTGTTGATCCTTGAACGAAAATAGCGCTCTAGAAGTTATTAAATTAAATTAAATTAAAGTGAGATTGAGGTGAATATGTCATTTCATTGGTCGCTACCTTCCACGTGGTTTCTTTAAGACATCTCACCGGAAACATATGGAATTTGATAGCAAAGCGCTACGAGAAAATACGTGTACGCGGGGTGCGAGAATAGAGTTGACTAATACAGAAAATAAATACGTCAATGATGCCCCTCTTGCAATTTTGAATTCTGTTCTGCCGTCCATTCCGCATCATATTATGGCTACCAAGAAAAAGCTAGGAACAAAATGTATCGTCCCAATCCTCTTTCGACCACATCTGTTTGCTTTAGTTTTGTCTAGCCCAATCATATCACAGGAAATAGTATAGACCGTTTATGGCCCGAATATTGTTAACTTGAAGCGCTAATTAACATCTTTTATTGATCATAGTTAAGCAATTGCAAGTTATACAAACATTAAAATTTGCGAATGAAAAATCAAAACATGCCATAAGTAATAAATTATCGAAATAGTTCACCAGTAAATAAAGTACATTGAAAAAACTGAAAAAAGAAAACGCGTGCCACAGTCTACTGTTGCTTTCTGCATCTCTCTTTCTCTTCTCTTTCTCACGCAAGCATTCGCAATCTTTTTGTTGTTACTGACGAAAGTTTGTCATGTTTTGACCCCTTAAAAAGCAATAGCTTTGGAGTTTCTGCAAATTCATTAAAAGAACATATATAACAACTTTTCGAAAAGTTAGCCTTGAATTCCGAGACATCACCACATCATTAGCCCTCAATCTTTTAGATCCATTGTCACCTTCAGATTGCGTCGATGTTTTTCCAAATAAGTCCCTTGCAGGAACCGATTTCGTTCGATTTCGCTGCAAATTGCATTGCGTCTTCTCGCCTATCCACGATCAACCGTCGCTTCAAGACGCTCCGTCTTGCTTCAAGTACATTCACATTCAGTCCGATTTCATCAACGTGGACCTTATTCAGAAGGCTACTCACAGGTCAGTGCTGGATTTTTCCATGGCTCATTCTTTCAGCAGAGCATGAAATATTAGCTTCGGTTGCCTGGAACATGCGTGTTATTCTACTTGGTTCCGTAGAGGTATCAAGACTTTTTGGAGGCGCCAGCAGCAATAAGCCGCAGTGATCCACTTTCCTTCGCCATTTCAGATCAATTCCCGACCTTATCTTTCAGTTAACACTATAGCCGAGGAGAGAGCAGAGCCAAGATTTGTTGCAAAATAAAATAGAAACTGTCGCTTCCCGAACGTAAATTCTCTTTTGACGCCCGAGTGTTGCAGTCTTCCCTCTTCTGACGCCATTAATCACTGTTCGGGCGTAGAATCCGCAAAGCTTCACGATTGAAACTTTAATTTCTTTCCTGATTGTTTGTGGAAGAAAATAAACTAAGAAAACAAATTAAATTTTTTATTTATTTTTTATATCAGCTCCAGTTCAGTTTAATTTCCTCCGTCCATTGTAAGCTAGTAGCTCTTTCTGGAAAATTCAAGGATGCTTTCAAGTTGTCTCAAGTAGGTTTTAGAAGATAATTATTGTACTGCCGTTAGGAATTGCTGCCTGGTATGAATAACTAAACAGTTTTTAATAAACTAGGAGCGTAGTATTAATAATAAAATATTTAWA